CCCCCCCCCCCCCCCCTGCCGGACATCTGGCTTTCTCCTCCTCCTCCCCTTTCAGCTTGTTATGTCTGTTGCAATATGTTTTGCCCCCTGGTCCATTATTCTGGGCAACATGCATCCCCTTGATTGTGAGAGGTGGTGGTTATGTTTGTGGGGGGACCCTGTGTATTATTTGAGACCTATGAGTAGTGGTAGGTAGGTAGTGAGAGGTGGAATTGAGAGAATAATTTAGGCTTAGCTTTTTTTTTTTTTTTAAAGGAAAACAATTCTGGTTCTTTCTGTCTTCGTGCTCCTTTTTTTTTTCTTTTTTTTTTTTTGAGACAGAAGATCTTTATTTATATTGCCGGAAAGCGGGTCCGGCATCCCTTACATGAACACTGCGGCCTTGCAGGCTGGGGAAGGCACTCCCGGCCAATCCCATCCCGACCACAGTCAGGACTCAATCCAAAGGATCACTCTGTCAAGTCCAATCATTCCAAACCAGGATTAACCTATTCAAAGTATTGCCCCATCTAATCTAACAAGCACTTCTTCCTATCTCATCCCTCGAGTACGCAGTCAGTTTTTTTTTTGTTTTTTTTTTCATTTTTGGACCCTTTTTGCAACAGTTATTCCTTAGGGCTGTCTCTTCTGTCCAGGACCTTTATATTCACTTTATTATTATCTATCTGGCCAGGCTACCAGAGTGGCCCGGGGCCACTTGCCTGGCCAGGCCAAAAAGAAAAAAGAAAATAAACTTAAAAAAAAATAGTTTTTCCAAACTTTTTTTTATTATATATTGTCACAGATCTATTGACTAAGAGAAGCACGTGAAGTATGTTGGTAAAGAATTGAGATATGACCCTGAGGTAAAATCGTTCAGTTTATTTTTTCGCATAACATACATTTTTTCTCTTCTTTTTTTTTTCTTTTCTGATTATAAGCAGGGAGCCTCCTTGACCCTTGCATGGCAGGGCCGCCCTGGAAAACAAAGTGACCCAGGCGGCCCGGCTGGTAGCCTAGCTATTTGGCAGTTTGCCAGTTTCTTAATTTTTATTTTATTATTATTATTATTATTATTATTATTATTATTATTATTATTATTATTATTATTATTATTTTCTGAGTTCTTTTTTGTTTCTTATGCTATCTGTTCCGAGTTCGTCCTTCACGCGATTTATTTCTAATAGACTTCAGTAGTTCCACTCCCATTGCTTCTTTTTTTTTTTTTTTTTTTTTTTTAATGTTTTTAAGCCAGGGCAAAGCTACGGTCCCGATGCCTATGCGTATACCAAGGGAGAGCCCAACTCAGAGGAACCCGACTAGGGGAGACCATCAGGCGACACAACCAGGGTACTGTAGAGGGTAAAGTGGTAACAGAGTGACGATGCCTCAAGTAGGCAGAGTTGCTTGTGATGAAGTCCATGAAGCTGCCAATGATGTCCATGATATGAAGTCCGAAGTACCGTAGAGGAAGAGCTGTAACGGCGACGAGCTGAAGTGGCAAAACAGGAGTGGATGGAGTACTGAGAAGTCAAAGACGTGGGAAGAGAAGTCAGAGTCAAACGTCGTTTCAGGCAGGACGACGACGAGTGCGCTGTGGACGCTCTGAAGCATCCGACTGCTGCTGAAGGTCTGCCTCAGATGCAGCAGGCTCGACTTCAGCAGTCTCCTCAGCCAAGGGAGAAGGAAGAGGGTCAATGGGCTGAGGACGAGCAGTGAACCCAGCACGACATGCACGATCATAGACACTCACCAACATGTGAGCGTGCTATAAGTGCTCGAGGGGCTCCCAAGTAGCCTCCTCACCAGGATAACCTTTCCAACGTACGAGATACTCAACGTGAGGAGGGTTGTCGTCGGTGACTCGGCGACCAATAATGTCTAAAACGAGGAACTCCTCGTGGTCATTCACCATGATGGGTGGAGGGCGTTCGTATGGTCGTCCAACGAAACGCTTGGACAGTTTGCGGTAGGGATGCAATAACGAGACGTGGTAGACATCGTGCACAAGAGCCTGGCGTAGGTAGTCGGGCAACTTCATACAGAAGCTGACCGGGCTAGAAGTCGTATCAGAACCGACGACCTGGAGAATGCGGCATGAGACAAAGAAGCGACATCGGAACTTGCGAAGCATGTCCGCTTCGAGTTGTAAATGGCAGGCGTGGACAAACACATCATCACCGACTTTGAATGGATGATCCATCCTCGATCGGTTCGCACGTGCGGCCATGCGAGTCAGGGAAGCGGCTATGTGCTCATGTGCGGTCTTCATGATCGACATCATGTGTGCAACCCAATCATCCAGCGCGGGACAACTCGTATCTGGGTGGATCTGTGACGGTCGAAGAAAGTATGCGGGAATACGAGGGTGATAGCCGATGTCGCAATAGTAAGGCGACATCCCCGTGGTTGGCAAGACGACGTGGTTGTAGGCTATCTCCGCGTGGGCAAGATGGAGATTCCATTGCTGGTCGTTACGAACAATCTTTTGTATAATATTTTTTAGAGTCTTGTTCGTGACCTCGGTTTGACCATCAGTCTGGGATGGTAAGACAAGGAGAAGCCGAGCTGGGTGTCGTACAACTCGTGGAGCCGTCGCAAGAATCGGCTGGTAAAGCGCGGGTCACAGTCAGATATGATGCTCAGAGGTAAGCCATCGTCACGAACGACTTGGTCAAACACGATATCGGCGACCTCACGTGCACTGATGGCGTATCGGCACGGAACAAAGCGTGCGCGCTCCGTGAAGTGGTCGACGACAACTTGAATAGCATCATGACCGTGGGGGGTCAGAGGACGAAAAGGACTGATAAAGTCCATCGAGATGGACTGCCAACGACCCTCAGGGATAGGAAGAGGCTGTGGAGCAAACCATAAGGCAGGTGGTTCGCACTGTTCATCTCCTGCCAGGTGAGACACTTTGCGATGTAGCTCTTCACAAAGTCTTCACGCTTTGGCCAGACGTACAGGCGGCTCACACGAGCCAACGTCTTGTGGAAGCCCATATGACCAGCGGGTGCATGGTCATGAAACTCTACTACTACTTGGACACGTAGCTGTCCAGTGGAGGGAACGCAAATATGGGGCTCTTTGGTGCCCAGTGAACCTTGCCAGTACACAAGACCGTTGTCCTCGAGAGAGTAGTTCGGGACGGTCTTGCCCCTTCGAAGGGTCGCATGGATATCGCGACAGTAGGGGCAGTGTCGATACTAAGTGCGAAACTCGTTTGTCACCAAGTGGTAGACGGTGGTGACCGAGATGGCAGCGAGCTGGATCTACTTTCAATTATGGTCAAGGCGTCGTAATAAGGCATTTGCGACCCGATTGGTGTCACCCTTTATGCGCTCAGTGGTGAAACTAAACTCGGATAGGCCGCGCCACCAGCGAACCTATCGAGGAGTGAGCTTCGGCTTTGTCAGAAAAACCTGGACAACAGAGTTGTCCATGCGCACCGTGAATGGTACCCCATGCAGGTAGTGACATAAATTACTGCAAGAACCTCACGTTCATCAGCAGTGTAGTTTATCTCGGCGAGCAGGAGTTGTCGGGAGTAGAAGATTATCGGACAATCACATGAGCGAGACTCGACAGTGACGTTCTCGACGATGGTAGGAGAATAGTCAAGAGAAGGCTCGTCAGTAGCTGGACGAGTAGGCGTCAGGCGGGAAGCAGTGGTAGGGGTAGGGGGTGGGAAGTGAGGGATGCGAGGATGAAAGGAATCAGAAGAGGAGGGGAAAATTAAAAAAAACACCGCTCTTACAGCAAAGTCTGGCGCATTGGTGGTAAGGATAAAAGGGCGATCAAAATCGGGTAGGTGGAGAACCGGTGCATATGTCACCGCCTTTTTAAGGATGTGAAAGGTGTCCTGAGGCTCGTGGAGGGGTGTCCAAGTCCATGGCGGGT